CCGTTAACTTACGTACACAAGACCGTCGGGTCGGNGATATAGTAATAGGTACGCGACGCGACGACTAACTACACTCTATTTACTTTTATTATATATATATATATATATATATATATATATATATAAAAGTCTTCCCAACATCCCTAAGCGAAAAGCAACAGCCATCACACCACCGTCCACCGTCTTGTTCAAATTAATTCAAAATAACGATTGAGATCTGCTCCAAACCCAGCACGCGAAAAGCTGTGATGGACTCAAAAGCTTCAAACCTATCAAAATTTCACCTTCTATCCTCCTTTGCTCCGCTAACCTCCCTTCTCTCTCGTTCGCCATCTCTACTTTTCTGCGGAGGTCCCCCCTCTCCCGTGTGAAGGTCCCCTCTCTCCCGTGGCCCTCTCATCTCTCTGCACTGTTGTCCTCACTCTCTCTGTGATGCTGCCCACACGTCGTCTCATCGCATGCCTCCTTCTCTCAAGGCCTTTCTCTCTCACTAGCTGCTTTAGAGAGAGAAGAAACCTTCTTCATGGAAGAAACCCAAAAGGTTTTAGTTCTCTCTCTATTACGATTTTGCATCTCATTTTTCCTTTCGCCATTGATATATGGAACACGAGCTCTCCATCTCTTAACTTACTTTTATTCAGTTTGTATCATTTTTAGGCTTGGTATGGTATTTTTTTTTGTGCCCTTTTACCCAATTTTTTTCTGGTTAGTTCTCTCTCTATTACGATTTTGCATATCATTTTTCCTTTCACCATTGATATATGGAACACGAGCTCTCCATCTCTCATCCTGCATTAATTCAGTTTGTATCATTTTTAGGCTTGGTAGGATTTTTTGTTGTGCCCTTTTACCCAATTGTTTTTTCTGAATTCAATCACAAAAACAGCGGAACAATGGTTCAGTTGGATTTTATTACTTTCTTTTATTATTGATTCTGAAGGAAAATTGAATTAGATGGTTATAAATGGGTTTCACTGCACAGTTTTTATTGTTTGGATCTATAACTTGAAGAAGTTACAATGAATACAGCTGAATGCCCTAACAGAAAAAATAATATCTGTCTTTCAATTGAAATTTTAATACAATTATTTGATTTTATGTCATGCTTTTATTCTCTATTTCACAATGCAACTTTTTCTTTTATTTTTTAAATAAATTTGGGTTCAGTATTCATTTCCCTGATCTGTGATTTTTTTTGTTGGGAATTTGAATTTCGTCATGACCAGGCAAAATGTGTCCATTGATAATTCAATACCTTTAAAAATGTTGATAATTCAATACCTTTAAAAAATGTTGATAATTCAATACCTTTAAAAAATGTTGGTAATACTATTCAACAACTAAAAAAGGAATTATTTGAAGCACGAACCTCGGCAACTGGAGTAGTTGGAGCTACTAGAAGGACACAAGAGCTGCTGATGATGAACATAGAAGCCAACCGAAAGATTGAGGCACTTAATAGGGAACTCACAGAGAAAGATAATGATGAAACTCCTTACAAAGTTAGCCAATGCTCTTTCAAGTAAAGAATGTGACTCACAGAGAAAGCTACAAGCATTTCGTGGTGAAAACGCTCAAAAACTACTTGCTTGTCAAGAAGAAATAAACAAGATGAAATGTGATGTAATGAGATAAAAGATATTGAAGAAAATTTTTACCAGGGAGTGAAAGAACCAGTCGAGGAGTTAAAGGAGAAAGAAAGTGAAATGCAAAGCTTGGAAGAGCTAAACAATGTTCTTTTAAGAACGGAAAGAGAAGCATATGATGAGCTGCAAGCAGCTCGTAAACCCGCAGTTGAGGTATAGTCGTACAACTCTTTTGGCAAAATCGAACCCTCAAAATTAAGATTTATATGTTTTAAAAGACAACAATAGACTGGTATACCTTTAATTACACAGGCATATTTTGGAGGACCCACTTTTTTTCATGATTCCTTTCGATGTATAACCATCTTTTGTCAAATTTTATTTTTTGATGATTGTAACTTATGCAGCTGACATATATCCATTCTTGCAGTATTTTGAGAAGAAACCAAATAATCGCTCATTTATAGGTGTGAAGAGATTGGGGGTCCTTGATGAGCAGCTATTTACTCGTGCTGTATAAGCAAAGCTTCCCAATGAAGAATGGGATTTGAGGGCATCAGAGTTATGCTCCTTATGGGAAGAACGCACAAGAAACCCATCTTGGCATCCTTTCAAGACGGTTACTATTAAAAGCATGGACAGAGTATGCAACTCTGAATTTTGTGAATTTTTTCAACTGCATATGAGTGATTGTAGGTATTACAAAATGTGCACATCACCATATATGCTTTCAACTGCAACATATTGACCTATTAGATGTGTGTTAACTTCCCGTGTGTGTATCTTCTTAAATTCTTGATCTTATTGAGACATTAATGAAGTCCTTTTAGTTCATTTTAAATCATGCTTCTGATTTCATGGGAAATTCTGGTGATGGTGCAGGAGGTCATCGATGAAAATGATGACAAGTTGAGAGAACTCAAAACGAATATGGGGATGAATTTTTCAAGGCTGTGGAGACGGCAATGTTTCAACTCAATGAATACAATCCAAGTGGAAAATACCCCGTTCCTATTCTCTGGAGTTTCAAAGAAAGAAGACAAGCCACATTGGAAGAATAATTCATCATTTCGTGAATCAAATCAAGAACAAAAAGAAGATATGGCATAGATAGTAGTGTTTGTCCAGGGTATTGACTGTTAGATATGTCAGGTTTTATTTATTGACCTAGATTTTGGCCCTACACCTTGGAGATGTTCATTATTTTTAAAACAATATCTGCTGTATAAGAATTAAAAGTTTAATCTTATCAAATTACATATGAGGAATTGGCCTGCCGGTCAAAGATCAGCAAAGATGAAGGGCTATAACGCACCATACGGAGAAAATAAACCAATATGATGCAAGTGAACTTATGCAAGTTTTAGGAAACAATTAGTTCCAGTTTATCCATGCTTTGTCTGTTGTCTGGAAAATTGAGAATTCAAGAAATTCCAATTTCAACTCAACGAACCACGTGTTTGGGTTGTTCTGTTGCATCGCCTATCTATTGGAACTTGAGTATCAAATCATGCACCCAAATTCAACTGTTACTAGTAAAAAATGAAAAAAAAGGACATATCAGATGCCTTGAACATGTAACAGCACGAACCATCACTTACTGAAAATTCGAGAATTTTTCCTTTTTTTATAGTACTTTTTAGTGGCAATTTCTTTGTGACTTGTGCTGAGTAAAGTCTACTTTTTTGAAGTTGACAACTCTTGGCATGGCATAAACCTTAAAAGAAAGAACTATGGGCACCTTTTATGCTTTCTTTTCTTTCTTATCTAGCGATTGAATCATATGCAAATACTTTGCAATTTCAAATACATGGCTGGTATTTTATACTGAGTGGTGGATTTAGTATCATCATTTTTTATGATTTTCTCTGGTTGAACAGTGTATGAGTTCTTTGGTACGCTGGTTTTAGGAACTAATGCCTGTGTAACTATTAGTATTCAAGTCATTTTCTCTTGATCATTCAACATGAATCTTTGTGCAGTCTTCTCAAGCAGCAGTGAATCAGCTAGTACCACCTAGCAGAGTTTTGTAGTTCTGAGCCTTTAAGACTTTGATACTTTAGACCGAAACTTTCAAGAATTAAAACTCAGATAAAGAGTATGTTATGAAATGACAAACCACAAAGTTGTTTCTAATTTATAATCACTATGAAGACGAATTCTTTTTATGAACAATGTTATATGGCCCTTAACCAATCCAAACATAGAAAGGTACTCCAAGCTGCATCCACGGTGTGTTCCCACTGCAGGATGGTTGTTTATCAACGTCCCTAGTTGAATGTCCTGTTGGCCCCTTGACTTCGAGTATCATGTACAATAGTCTAATAGCAGTGATGTGCTTTCCCTTTTACTATATTTACTAAAATGACTTATTCCTCACCTTCCACGTGCATTACTTAAATTGCAACCTACAACCCAGAGTCTTATACAGATGTGCGGGATTTGTCTTATTTGCAACAACACCTTGATCAATATCCACACTCTGCCAAGTACAGGTTTGGTGCTTCCACATCAGGCCTTATTTTTCACTTTGCTTGAGCCAAAACTACCTCACTCTTCCATTGCAGGAAACTCACCAAAGAGCTATGCGAGATTATTGAAGATTATGATCTGGTCAATTTCACCACACTGGATATTCAGGTATCTCAGAGAGTATGCTTGCTGCTTCCAATGATGGAGCAAGCTCGGAGGTCGGTGAGCAAGCAAGAAGGGTAGTCTTGATGTTGTTAGAGCAGCTTTCCCACCCTTCTGGTCTAAAAAACTCAGCAAAGCAGCGACGAAACAATGAGATGGTTGCTTGAATATCTCACATATGGAGAACAAGCTGCCATGGAAGTGCTGATACAACACTTTGAGCCTCATTTGCAAAATTGGGGAGAGTTTGATAGGCTTCTGAAGGAGCACCAACACAACCCTAAAGATGAGAGCTTGGCTGGGAAAACAGCTGCTCAGAGTTTGCTGTAGAGAGCATCTGAGTCACTTAAAACCAGCTCGTCTGGAGAGAGACTCAAGGACATGATTCTAGAGAGAGGGATACTGAAATAGCTGTTGAGAGGTGTTTGACCTCTTTTTATTTTTTCCTATTTCATGAGGTGTTTGACTTCCTTGTATCTTTTTTCCTATTTCATGAGGTGTTTGACCTTCTTGTATCTTTTTTCCTATTTCATGAGGTGTTTGACCTCTAGTGGTTTGTAAATGATTGTAATTGGTTGTTGTTTAATTAATGGTAATCCAGTGATTTGTAAATGGTTGTAATTGGTCATTGTTGAATTAATGGTAATTTTTGTGAAAGAAATTCCATAGTTTATGGTATTATTCAGTTTATGATTTTTTTTTTTGTAGCAACATACATAAAGAGAGAGAGAGAGAGGGAGAGTCGTGGGAGGGCAAGGCACACGAGGGGTAGTAGG